GATACTTTGAGAACACACTTAAGGGGTTATTAGTTTTCTATTTCATGCTTGGCCTGTGTGTGAGAATAACACCAGCTGTCACTGCAAATCAGTAGCTAAACACGCTTTGTCTGGTTAATGTGAGCATTTAATATTTGGCTCAATTAAAAATTAACTGATGAAAGTGCATGTCAAATGGAAATTGAAAATACCTTTGTAAGGAATATCGAAAGGGCACGACCAGTGAGGAAATTAGTGGTTTTAAAATGCGGAGACTTGGGAGAAACTTCATATGAGTCGAGACTCCCGACTCTTCCTTCGGACCTCTCTCCCTGTTTGGCTCTGCATGATCCTGAAAAGGATGTCCTCTTTCTTACTATGAAGAACCCAGTTGCATCTCTGTGTTTTCTAGAGAATGACTATGTTGTTTTGTTTTGTTTTGTGCCGGATCCTACAATGAAAGCAGACAGAACAGGAGATGGGTTATTCATTTGTCCCACACATTTTTTTTTTTTTTTTTAAATTGAGCATGCACATGGTTAGGCCAGGCCCCGGGGAAGTTGAGGGCTCACAGTCAGCAGGGTGTAGATCATCACAAAACGACTGTAGCCGAGCCTGGGGAGAGCCAGGGGAGAAGACCTACAACCACAGTAGGGGTACCTATTAGGGTCAAGGAAGTCTTCCCAGGAAAGGGAGCTGAAGCCTGAAGAAGGAGCGGGAGCTAACCTAGAGAAGTGGGGAGGGGGAGCGAAGTGGCCAGCAGGAAGAAGCTGGGGGACAAAAGCCAGAGATGGCAGCCCGCTACATGTTCTTGGGACTCTGGAGCTCAGCCTGGCTGGAGGGAGGGGCACAAGGGGGCAGATCAGAGAGGTAATGCGGGAGGTGCGCCACTGTGGAGGGGTTTATTCTAGAAAGGTCCTGCCATTAATAGACTGGGGAGAGGCTAGCTCAGCAAATGAGCAAGAGACCATGCACCTGACTAGAGGAATGTCAGTAGGGACAGCGAGAAGCTGATAGTGTTGGGCAATGGTTAGGACTAGAACGGAGAGATTTTTGTTTAGGAAGACATAGTGATGGACTGAATGCTTCAGAACCCGGTTCATGTCTTCTTCAGTTACACTGCTCTTTTTCCATAGTCATTTTGAGAAGAATATGGTCCTCGTTGTAGTGAGATATATGAAAAAATAGACTTTTTTTTTCTTATTTCCCATTCGTTTCAATTAGCACTTCCGGACTGAAAATTTTTTTTTGTTAGAATTCACATTGTAATAGATTGTCATTAACAAGCAGTTAACGAAAGTGTATTTGAAGAAAGAAAGAATTCAGTTTTGAGAGGCAGTTTTCATAGAATTTTCCTCCACGTGAAAAAAATCGCAACAGTGGGGTCTCACCTTGTTGGGGGATTTTAAAGTTTCCAAAGGAATTCCGTGTCTATTGGCTCCTTTGGTCTTCATGAGGACCCTAGGCAAGGCAGGTATTGTAGTCCCACTTCTCTCTGCCTACACCCTTTTTGTCATTTGTTTATTCCCATGCAAAGAGAAAAACACCTGAGAAAGCTGTGCAGGCCAGTAATTCCTGGTATTCATTCCCAGACTCAGAGTCCGGTGGCTGTTTCTTTACATTGTGGTGCTTCTCAGGGTATGTTTTCACAAGGACACCAGATTCCTCAATAGAAACTTAATCAAGTATATCTAATGTGGAAAAATAGTATCCTCTGCTGCTTTTTACCTAAAAAAATGTCAAGAAAATTAAAATGTAGTCTTCTGTTTCAGGTTTTTTTTTTTCCCTCTCCTTTGATTTGGCTTTTGAAGGGTGTTTCATATTTATGGCAGAGGGGCATCTAACCTCTTGCCATTTGATGCCCACACGTTTGCTCAAGACCCCTGGGTGTGCTTGGGAGCTGGGCAGGATTGAGCAGGTGACTCCTCCAAGGGGACAGTAGTGTGAGGGACAGGGGCGTTGTCGAAACTCAGCATAAGGGTTCTGGGACACAGCAGGGCAGGCAGAATTATACGAATGTAGACCATCATTTTGATTGTTTGGCATCTAACCGGCAATCCACGTTTTTATTAACTTGTAAAATTGGCCTCTTTAGGTAAGCAACATAAACTTGGCGACTAAAGCGCTTATCGAATTTAAAAAGTGGCGGAGCCTTCATCAGCAAGATCCCATAGTGTCTAAAGGGCATGTGGCTATGTTAGTTCAACCTCATTTATTCAACACATATTGGAAGAGCACTGGATCTGCAACGGAAAACATGGTGGTCAAGAACTGTCTCGCATACCTCTCATAAATCCAACACTGGTGAGGAGGTTAGCACAGTAAACAGGCAAATAATTAACCATATAAGGGACTACAATATAACAAAAAGGGGACAAATTGATATAGGAGTGTTGATGGGGCTTATTAACTCTTGCAGGAGTCTTGGGATTCTGCTAGTAGTATTGCAGATTACACAGAGGAGGTTAAATGGCTTTTTAAAGTTAACAGCTGAAAACATAATGTTCTTCCTTAAAATTAACGTGTGTATTGGTATAACACAGCCCGTAGTCGGTGACCATGCACAATATAGAGTTAGAGAAGACTTTCATTTTTGGCTAAAACGTCTGGAACATTTTCCCCCTTATACCTACTGATCTTTTCATTTCCCCCATTTCCATGTATCACAACATTGGTCAATGGCCCCAGTCACTGAGAGCCAGGAGGAAGGAAGGAATTGATTGCACCCCAACATGTGCCAGACTCTGGGCTTAGTGCTGCTATGGATAGGAGATGATTTAACCCCCATAACCTCTTCTGAGGGTAGGAAGTAGAATTACAGATTGAGGAAGCAGAGGTTTTGCAAAATCAAGGAATTTTGCCCAGTAAGAGGCAAAACCAGATCCTTTTTTAGGCAATCCAAGTGGTCATGGATGTCCTCTAAAACTTCAAGAATTTTTTTTTAATGTAAAATAGAAACCTACTAAAAAGTAACACTTTGCTGCATGTGACTTTTTGGTTTGTTTTGTGTTTCCTTAGGAAGCCAATTAGTCATCTTTATTTTAGTAACTAGGAGGTGAAATCTTTCATAAGGCCAACTTTTAAAAGTTCTTTCATAGTTGAAAAAAGAGAGAAACATTTTGTTTCTGTCTCTCTCCTCTTTGGCTCCAACAGTCTGTGTAAATAACTTTTGAAAAATAAGTAGTAATCACCGCTTCATACCAAGACCAGACACCTGATTCAGAAGCTGTCCCAGGGGTCAGCATGTGTGTGTTGGAATAACAAATCCACAACTCTGTCCTGGTTCAAGAGAAATGACCTCACTGTCCAATTGTAACCTGCCTGAGGCCTTCATCAAGAGGTGGGAAAAGTCTGCGGTTTTACCTCTGGTGGGATCCTCAGCCCTTCGAGGTCTTATTTTAGGCATGACCTTAGTGTTTTTTTCCAGAGTCCAGAGGTGGAATGACATGTTCCTCAAGCTTACAAGATGATGATGATGTATCTTTTTTTTATATTTAGCTGTAAATTTTATTCTACTCATATAAACAAACCCACTTTCAGCAACCAGGGTGTATCAAGGGAGAGTCATTTCCATCTCCCTTGGTTTAATTTGGATACATTTGACCTAGAACAGCCCAGTGTTTCCACAATAACATTTGGACAGGATGCTGCTGTGCTGGTTTGCAGGGCTCAGGGAGTTTCGGCTGGGCCAGGAAACGACTTTCTTAAAAGAAATCTAAGCACTAAGTTCTGACAAGATAGGAAACTCTTACTAGGCTCCTTATTAAACCTATCTCTGTTTTTCTTTGCTTTCTCATTCATTTCTATCTCTCTTTGTGTTATTAAGCAATATAGGTTGAATATTTAACTTAAGTTCATATGCCACATGCATAACTGAAATTCAGAAGGCATAAAATAAAAACAAAAAATTGTTTGAAGGGGTTTGTTTGAGGAAGCATATATAAATAAAAAAATTAAACATTTCTCCCAGGCACAACATGTTATAATTTTTAGAGTAGAACTTCATGGTCTTTCATAAGGAAGCAAAAAAGGAAGGGAAATTATTATTCAGGCAGAGGGACAATAGTAACCTTTCATTAATCGAGACAGAGTTCAAAACCAGGCTCCCCAAACCCTGGGATCTGTGTTCACTGAACTGAACACCCCACTAGCTATTTCCGCTCTCTTCTGGGGACTAGACTGCTTAAAAATGTGGGTCCAATATAATCTAAAACGTTTAATTTATAAGCTATAACCCAACACGATCATGTTTAAACGTCTGCTTTATGTATTTTTACAAATCCTTAAAATCCCAAGGACTTGAGATAATTAGGATCTTTGTTCTTTAACGGCTTTCTATGTGACCTCTTAGTGGTAGGGATTGATCTCAGGACAAGGGCGGGGTAGATTTGGATTCTGTGCCCAGGAGGGGCTCACTTGTGTCCAGCGTGAAGAGGAGAAGGCTTTGCCCTTTCTCTGCCTCAGTCATACCTGCAATTATTTATAATGTTGACGTGGAAATGAAGAACGCTCGTTTGTCACCAGGATTGTAATTGGGGAATGAAAGGTCTTTATGACCGCCAAGTCCATTAACACTCTGTTTAGCAATTATGATGATTCTAAACACAACTAAGAACTAGGAAGTCATTTCAGCCCCTGCTATGCAGAAGGGTAACACAAAGGTTACACGCCAAAGGTCACACCCATTAGTCATAAGAGCTTGGCCATCACTCCTAACGGATTTGGGGTGTGTGTGTGTGTGTGTGTGTGTGTGTGTGCGCGCGCGTGGAGAGAAAAAGAGCAATACACATAACCTAAAAGTTACCATTTTAACCATAGTTCAGTGGCATTCCGTACATTCTCAGTGTCGTCCCACCATCCTCACCATCCATTCCAGAACTTTCTCACCACCCCAAACTGAAACTCTGACTCCATTGAACACAAACTCCCCGTTCCCTCCTCTCCTCAGCAACCCCCCACCCCCGTAACTACTATTTTACTGTCCATGTGAATTTGACTGCTCTAGGCACCTCATACAAGTGAATCACACAGTATTTGTCCTTTTGTGTCTGGCTTACCTCACTAACATCGTGTTTTCGAGGTTCATCATGTTGTAGCATGTGTCAGAATGTCATTCCTTTTTAAGGCTAAATAATTCTCCACTCAGAGTTTTTGTTGTTGTTTTTTTATTTTTTATTTTTTTATTTTTTATTTTTTATTTTTAAAGATTTTATTTATTTATTTGACAGAGAGAGACACAGAGAGAGGGAACACAAGCAGGGGGAGTGGGAGAGGGAGAAGCAGGCTTCCCGCGGAGCAGGGAGCCCGATGCGGGGCTCGATCCCAGGACCCTGGGATCATGACCTGAGCCGGAGGCAGACACTTAATGACTGAGCCACCCAGGTGCCCCTGTTGTTGTTTTTTTAAATGCATGTTCTCACAAGATTGGTTATCATTTTTTTCCGGTCCAAAGAAATGGCACAGACAGTCCATTAGTCCTGAGTGGGCAACAGAGTCTGCAAATTATTAGAAAAATTACGTGAAGAGCCTGACTGTAAGGAAGAGGCTAACGAGGCCATGAAGCCCGGCTCAGGAATGACAGACCAGCCATCTGAGGCTGCTCCGTGGGGGGCGGACGGTAATGAAGCTCTCAGCGGCCCTTGAGGTTGTCCTTGGGCTGAGGCTCGGGCCAGGCTCGAGATGCTGTGAGTCAGCAGGACGGGGGGGCCCTTTCCATAGGGAGAGTTGAAGAGTTCAGGGAAAGCGGGTAGTCCGTTTCTGAAGCGTCTCCATTCCAAATGGTTAAGATTTTTTACAAGTTTCGGCTTCAGTCATCTGAAAAATCCACTTATGGGACATGATTCATTCCAGAACGCGGGGCGAGAGAGGAGGCAAGGCAGTGGCCGTGTGAAAAAGAAGCTACAGGCGAAGCGCCTTGCCCAGTGCGGGCTCACCTGCACCTTCCTTTCCTCGACCTTGCTTTCTAGGGCAGAGAATGGAAGGGAACTGGACTTCAATGCATACGGATATTGGTATTTCGGGGGGAGTTTCTGGCCCTGACTCGGGCATCTGCCTCCGGACTTCAGTTTGCCATCGTGGGACAGTGACACGTGGTCACTTGCGCCTTCACCATGCTTGCGCCTGGTCACTTGCGCCTTCACCACGCTTCACCAGTGCCTGTGAGGCTTCTTGGTGTGATCTCCGGCCTTGTGGAGGGCAGCAACTCAACTAGAAATCTCGCAGTCCAGTGAGTTTTTCCTGAGGCAGTTAAGGATGGCTTCCCAGAGGAGGTGCCAAGAGGCCTGGGGCATGAAGGATACGTAAGAGCTTGCCCTGCGGAGGATGGGAAAGGGTCCCATGTGCAAGTAAAGAGAGTGATGGGAAGGTTGTGACGAGCTTGGGGACGGTCCAGAAGTCAGCATGACCAGAATACAGGGGTTGTGGGGTGGAATGCAAGGAGATGAAGCTGGAGGGACAGCCAAGGCTGATTCACTAAGGCCCCGAGTGTCTCCCTGAGGAATTTAGATTTGGTCTTTCATGCGGCGGAGGGCCAGCGAAGGTTTCTAGCAGGATAGTAATTTTCATTGGCGGTGGAGGGGGCAGGAGGGAGGCCAGGTAGGGAAAAGGGGCAGGTGCCCATCTCGGGATGGGGCTGAGCACCTGCACGTGGACACCTGCCTCTTCTTCCCACTGGGATGGGACAACCGTGAAAGATATTTCAAAGGTAGAATCTGTCAGGCTGTGCATAGGAATTGAGGAGTGTGGATACAATTGGACCGTCGTGGAATACTCAGTGCTCAGCACAGGCAAGCACACAGTAGGTGACAGACGGACGGACGGACTGGCCAGCTGTCAGTGTGGGTGGTAAGAGCAGCACGTCACAGGATAGCCCAGCCGTATCGTGAAAAAGGAGCTGTTTGTAGGATGTGTGCTCCGTGCCAGATACTTTCTAGATGGCCTGTCTGCGTGAACGTGTTTCTTTCTTAGGACAGTCCGGGGAGCTCGGTGCGCTTTTATCCTTGTAGACGGGGGACACAGGGGCTCAGAGAGGTGACTCACGCAGCTGCTTCGGTGGTTGAGCTGGGGTTTGAACTCAGGCATCCACGGGGTACTCCGTGCCCTTAATCGCAGCACTGTGGCCTCTCCTCTTCTGGAGTTTCCTGGAAGTTGCTTGTGTCAAGGCCCCAGGAGTGATGAGTGGGCAAACATAACCAGCGGCAGGATGCAGAGAAGCCTGTTTAGGAAACCATTTATCTCACATAGACATACCATCTGAGATGACCTGAGGAGAAATAACAATGGCAGTAATAGCACCACAGTCTTTTCCCTGGCATAAGACACCAGCTTTGTAATGAAAATGGAATTTCTCTGGGAAAGAGTCCTAGAAAGAGATAGGCCGTTGAGATAAAATAACACATTGTAAGCTAGTATCAGATTGTTTTCTGTGTGTTTTCCCTTGCAGGCTTGCCTTCTCTGTTGTGTCATTTACTTTGTCCACTTGCCCCCTGCAGATCCACGCCCCCTGTGCCCCCCCCCACCCCCCGCCAGCCCCACAACCCGAAGGAAGAAGAAGGAGTGTGTGCATCTCGAGGCCTTCGTGCTCTACCTTGAGTTGACCCTCAACGTACCTGGCGGGAAGGGGAAGGGGTCCTCTAGGGTAAACATGGCTTTTGGGGATGGAAGCCGCCTGTGGCTTTCTGGAATGAAGGGTGGTGAGTTTGGTTTCCCAGGTGGCCCATGGACCGGAATGTGAGCTCCACGGTATTCAGGTGTGCGTGCGCTGTCATGGATCATTACAACCCCAACTGAGGCTGTGTTTTCATGCCATAGGTCAGAGTCATATAAAATAAACTCTTGTCATAACAAAGGATGTAGCAGCCAGATTACATCTCAGAGCTCCTTCACTCGCTTACCCCAGAGGACACTGATTTTCATGGCAGTGTGGGGGAGGGCTTCTATTTTATGCTGATTCCAACCGGGGGTCTCTGTTGCTCTACCACCTTTGTAAATGGTGATAAATAGTGGTGGCCATAGCAGCATGGAGAAAGAGTGTGGCCTGGAAACCCAGCCAAACGCTCTTGACTCCAATTTTATGCAAATTCGCCGAACAGAACGCAAATGATTTCCCAGTAATGCGGGACCTCAGTGCTCCTCTGTTTCAGCGGGCTCCCTGGGCTTCTGGCAACAGCCCCCGTAGGGGCGTGGAGGTAAAGGGTGGCTGGCAAGGAGGGGCTCCCAGCGTCGGTGGAGACCCCACCTGGGATTTCACCAGGAGCACCAGCTTTCCCTTTGGCATCCTGCAAGCCAGGACTTCTGGGTTTCAAGAACAGGAAGAGGTCATCACAGACTAATGCTTTTTAAAGTCCTTTATGTGTCCACTTAGCCCGTGATGTTCCGTGATCACAGTAGACATCCAAACACTTAGGCACCTCACACATATTTTGATTGGGCGTTTAAGACAGTGTGCTAGGCATCGAGAAAAGACTCGTGTGCAACCTTCAAAGCGTGAAACCGTAACAAAGTGTGTCTAAAATCTCCTCCACTGTCCGGCGGTGCCATAGCCCCTGGGCATGTGAAATGTGGCTAGCCTGGATGGAGGTGTGATTGGAGTATAAAATGCACACCAGATTTCAAAGACTTAGTGTAAAAAGATGAATGCAAAAATACTTTATTAGCAATTTTTATGTTGAACATATGTTGCAATGATAATGTTTGTATGTATTGGTTTAAATAAAAATATATTAAATGTGGCCACTAGAAAATTTAAAATTATATATGTGGCTCATATTATACTTCTATTGGACAGCACTGGTCTAGACTGCTACCCATTTATTACCCAGTGTGGTCACCTTTTTACTCCCATCTTTGGGTATTATTACATAGGAGGGTAGAAAGAGCTTTCCTTTTTGCACAGATGGGGTATAGTTTAGACAGTTTTGTGGCACATTGTGTGACTCTTTCCCAAGTGCATTCGCATCCAGGTTCTTGTTGAGTCCAGTCTTAGTCCACGCAGGGAGGGCCTGGCCATACTTTTAAAGGTGAGTATGTTGAAGGAGAAGATGAGGCTTGCTCACCTGCCTCAAGAGTTGGGAGTCAGGAGTACAATGTCAGACTTTCAGCTTCTAGTCCAATGCCTGTTAGAAATAAACTAAAAACTTCCGGTGGGAATATTTACTTAGAGACAATAGGACAGGATCCTATTTAGAAATAAATGTCTGTGTTTGTGAATGTACATGCACACAAGCATGTCCTGCAACTGACTGATGTGACACATTCATCAAAGGTTGGAGCCAATGTTCAGTGGAAAAGTGTGACTCATGTTGAATTTTGGGAACCATCAGGTCAAGGTTAGGGGAGGGTTAGTGCATGTTGTCCTGACAAGGGGATGCTTTCTTCTGTTGGAAGTCAGCTGTGGTCATGTCCAGTTCCTGGCAGCATGCAGCGAGGTCAGTGGATCTCACCTGTCAGAAAGGTCTGAGACTAGATTGGATCATTCATGGGATGGAAGGACAAAGCAGCTACCCTGGACCAAAGAGGCAGGGGATCAGATCCCAGGAGCCCCTTCTGAATTACTTTACTCCCAGCACTTCTAACAGCAGATGCGGAGGTGTTTTCCTCACTCCAAGAACCAGTTCTCCGAATCTCTGGACGTCAGCTAGGCATCCCACAGTTTAATTCAATTTTGACACTAACTACCTGGAGTTAGCATCAGATCCCACAGACTGTCCCCCTGCTTTAGACACCAATGTCTGGGCCACCCACATTTCTGACCCACCAGTTATAAACCAGAGGTTTTCACTACCCCTTCCTCGCGTTTGATAATTTATTAAAGTGGTTCATATGACTCAGGAATATACTTGACTTACTATGACTGGTTTGTTATAAAGGATACAACTCAGGAACAACCAAATGGAAGAAATGCATAGGGCAAGGTATGGGGGAAGTGTTGTGGAGTTGTTCTTCAACCTGGAAGTTCTCAGAACCTCATAGTTTAGGGGTTTTAATGAAGCTTCCATTATGAAGGCATGATTGATGAAATCTTTGGCCATTGGTGATTGACTCATTCTCTAGCCCCTCTCCCTCCAGAAAAGGTTCCAACCCCTGTAATCAAACCTTAGGCTTTCTGGTGACAGGCCTCCCCTACATCCTGAAATGATCTAAGACCACCAGCCACTCGTCATCTGATTAGCATACAAAAGACACTCATCAGTAGAGATTCCAAGGGTCTTAGAAGCTCCTGTGTCAGGAACTCCGGACTAAGGCCGAGTATTATAACAAAAGATACCGCTATCACCGCTGTCTTTCAGGAAATTCCAAGAGTTTTAGGAGCTCTGTGCCAGTAACCGGAGGTGAAGATCAAATATATATTTCTTATTATATCACAATATCACACACTCAATCCAGACAAAGGATGGGGGGAGGTACACTTCTAGTGAAGAAGCTATCAAGGTCAAGAATACGTGGCTGGTCTGGCGGGTGAGATTAGCACAGTACTGAGGGCCAGGGGCCAAGAGCCTTGGGCTGTGTCCCGGCCCTCCGAGTGCTGTTTGGGCATGTTGCACACTCCTCTGAGCTTGCGTTTCTTCATCTGCAAATCAGAGAGTTGGATTAGAGGGCGTCTCACTAAGATTTTGTTATTCTATGAGTGTTGAAGGCCAGAGAATCAAGTAGAATAGTATTAATATCCAATCAATGATAGCATTGGGGTTTGGTGTTCCTGCTTTTTCTTTTGTCTAATAACCTTGGGGGCCCCTGCGATCCATGGTAAATACCATCACTGGCTTGGACCAGTTATTTGGCCCTGAGTGAGACAGGGGTTGGGTCTAGGATTACCTTAGAGCTTTAGCTGATGCACAGGTGTTGTCGTGTAATATCTACAAACATTTATACCCTTGTCCCTTTCCTGGCTCTCTTCTCTTTACCCCTGTCCTTTCTGTGAGTTATAATTATTTCTTAGCTGATATCTTGGAAGTCTCCCAGTTGTGCAGGTAGTAACTCTCCCCACATTGATCATATGCTTTAGTAAATCACTGCTTGTTTTCTGTCTACAACTGTTTTTGCTGCTTTGCACCTCCTATGAATTAGAAAGCTCCTGGGCTACAGATGAAGGCATAAGAATTTCACTCCTTTGCTTTGTAAAGACTAGATTTTAATTGCTTTTAGGAGGTGTTGGGGGACAAAAGGCCTTGGATCTCGAGAGAGCTTTGTATTTTGTAGAGCATCACCCCAGGAGCACATTCCCCCAGTGAGGGTTCCAGTCACCCCTTCTGCCTCATTATACTTCACTGAGCGCTGAGAAGCCTGGCATCGTTTCTGTTGGAATGAAAAGACTGGCAGAGCTGCCCGAGACAGCAGCACCACAAAACACTGTGGCAGAAGGTTTGGTCTACATACCAAAGCAGCCAGAGTATTAATTGCATTCTCTGTGATCACACACACAAAAAAAGGCGCTGAATTATTCCCTTCATGTTTTAAGAATGACAGGCTTTCACTCTGCCAGCCCTAAGCGTAGTGGTATCACATGGCAAGGAGATGCTAGATTTGAAAAAAGAAGTGTAGAAGTGAAGCTCTCTGGTAGGCAGCTAGTTCTTAAAAAAAAAGATCTAAAGATGAACTGTGTCATAACTGGTACCTGGAGAAGATCGGGAGCAGGGGTGAGGAAGTGTCTCCATAAATCTACGCGATCTCTTATACTTTTCCATTTTGAGCTCTTGTTTTAAATTTTGAAATGGGACATTTGAAATTGCTAGCTACAGTTTGTCTTTGTTTTCGTGGGTGGATTAGTGAAAACGTGGTACAGGGTTTGTACCAACATGCTGGTGAATATTCCGAATATCCACACCATGCACTCACACCCTTTGGGCCTCTCCAGGAATGTACCCCGTTCACAACCCACACTGACATGTATACCACCCCAACACATGCACGGTCCCTGCCCGGTCACTGTCACCTCTGGACCTGCGGAACATATTTTGTCAAGACTGTTTGTGATGATTTAACTTGGTTGGGAGGAGAATAGATAAAGCAGGTGTCAGCCTGTGTATTGGGGATTTTCCTCTGATGAAAATTGTTATTCTGTGCAGCACCCCACCCTCCCTTCACAACCCTGAAAAAGAGAAGTATGTGCGCTGCTGATGTTCAGGGTTTGAGTGTGTTTTCGTTTAAAGTGTTGGGGGGGATCAGAGAGCATTTCGTTCTGGGTAGTGAGGTCCGGAGAAGTGTTTTGGTTTCATGTGATTAGACCTGTCTCACCAATCCTGCTGCTTGTGGACTCTCTGTGGTGGCAGGGGTGTCGGGGAGGGGGCTGGCTGCAGGGGAAGCAGCCACTGAGAGCCTGGCTGGGCGCTGGTGGGAGGAGGCTGGGGCCAGCCAGGGGCTGGGGCCATATGTTCATGGGAGGCTTCGAGCGCAGCTCCACTCTTCTGAACTTGCCCTGCCAGAGCATGCCTCTAACCAAAGCGAGGCTCCAGCAGCCACCGGGTTATGGTGTGAGAGTCATTGCTGACATGACTTGTCATCTGCAACAGGAGGATGCCCAGATCGTGAAAACCTTCCATCTTTGGGCTTGTTAGCCCACTGTGTGCAGTAGGGAGCTCGCTTTTATTTCCTGCTGCGTGGTGTGGGAGAGCACCTCACTCTGTGGAAACTTCTGCAGCAGAAACCTTTTCTGACAGTCCCCCCGGCATACACACACCTATTTCACCCACAGAGTCAAAGAGAACCGTTAAGCCATTCCTCAGTGTCGTATCTCGTGGGTGAAGGACCATTCATTTAAGACGTTGGTGAGAATGGTTCTGTCATTGTCTTCTTGCGGAGATCGTTTCATCCAAGCCCGTTCACAGAGCACCTGCTCGGTGCTGCACAAACCCTTCTGTGCGCGGGCCCCGCTCTGTGATCAGAATGCAACTCCCCGCCTGGAATTGTGAATGTTGGCAATATAGAGAGCCTGCATGATTTCTTACCCATGTTCCTTGGTTCAGAAGGAAAACCTTTCTAAAATTTTGTATTTTGTTTCAGTGTTCACCTCAATCTATCGGATAGCCATCCATTCATATCTAGTATGACCATAAAGGTTGCTGTCCATGCTGGGACACTTATAAGGGTGAAAGGAGGTGTTATTAATTACTGGGACATCGGGAGAAACTGAGATGGTCCCAGGCACAGGCACCCACAGTAATAACCCCGAATGTATTCATCTTCTTAAGGATTGGGCATGATTTTTTTTTAAAAAATTGTGGCTGGATCCTTTCTGCATTTTTCTGAAAACCAAATGGACTGTTTTGTAGGTTTCCACGTCAGAACAAACCACCCTGCAAATATACCCATGAGAACCACTCTAGTTAACCTGTTACGTCTTTCCCTGGGTCTTGTCTGGACTCCGTATTTCCACCCCGAAGAGGCGGCCACACAGAGTTTTCCCATTGCACCCCAAGAGGGTGTTTGCTCTGTTTGTTTCACTTTCTGTGAATGATGCCAGGCGCAGGTTTGTGGATCCGTTGACACTTGATGAGTATTGGTTTCCAGAGCTGACGAGGGCCTGTTGAAGAGCGTTAGGCCGCATGTGACAGTAGCTGTCCAACTAGGTAATGTTCCCATCAACACGGTCCTGTGAGTCCTTGATAAGAAGACTGATGACTTTTTGAAAAATACAGAATATTTTTCTCATAGCCGTGAACTTCCATCTCCTCAGTCAAAATAATAATATACTTTGGGAACAATTTAGAGATTCTTTCAACAAATAAAGAATGTAAACCAAGCATATATGCCTCAAGAATTTGACATTGGAAGAAAATCCGCTTCATCTCACTAAGTAACTCTCGTGAAAACCTCATCCTTTTTTTTTTTTTGCTTTTTTTGCACTTTTCAATCTGCAGCTAAATTAGGCCACAGGAAAAGGATATCGTACCTTCAAAGAGCCAGTGGGGTTGGCTGGGTTCTTTCTATTCGTGGAAAGAGCTGTGGGTGCTGAGGGTAGAAGTCAGGCTTCTGTTCCATGCTAAGGTGGGAAGGTTCGGTCTTGAGATGCATCGCTCGGCTGTGGAGGAGGGCACAGATGTTGAGCGGCTTTATCAACATCTTCGAGGCGTTTGAAATGTGTTGATAATGACCTGGGAAAGAGAGACGGGCGGGACAAGGGTGGGAGTAGGAAAGGAACATTCCTCCTACACAGCGCGCACATCTTCTCTTGTTTTTGTACCCGTGGTGGCTGCAGATGAAGTGAATTAGGTTATTCGTTTCCCTTGCCTTCTACCAGACATGAGTGTTTCTCGAAGCCCGGGGTGCTTTTGGCCTGCTGAGCGAAACACGAAGGAAGTCTGTGGAAGGAGAGCTGGCCCGAGCAGCGGGCAACATTCTCCTCCTTCCATCGTGCTCCCTCTCTCCGGTCGGAGGCCAATAGTGGGGTTTAGCTTGGGTTTTGTTGAAAAAGATTGCTGCTATGGCCCTTATTATGGGTGAGATGTGGCGGTGTTTTCTTTGTTTCAAGTTAAAAACCAGTTTTAGGAATGCTCTTTTGCTTTAAAAACATGTTCTGAGGGGGCGTGCTGAGTAAATGGTTTGGAAGGCCCTTGAATACTGTTTTTCTCTCTCTCTCTCTCTCACCTCTTTTCCTGACTTTCTTTCCAGTGACTTTCTCTATCCCCACAGCTTCGGTATCACATACAGGTGGCTGATTCTGGAACGGGTATCTCTGCAGAGTCCAGTTCTGCCTATGTACTGTTTCCTGATGAAGCTTTCCTCCCAGATTTCCTGTGGGCAGCTCAAACCTAACATATCATCAAAAACACTTAATGCAGGACTAAACTCATTATCCTCCTTCTAGAACCTTTCTCGGACTTTGCCGGTCGGCTCCACTCGGCACCATCATCCCGATCACCCCGAGGCAGGACTTAGGATGCTTTTTTCGTGCTTCTGCTCCACACCTACGCAGGGAACCACCCAGGCCCTGCCATCCTCCGTGTCTCCCTAGGCTTGCTGCCCTTTGTAACTCTTGCCTAGGAGATCCCATTAACCTGAGCAAGTTTTCTCCTCACTCCAGTTAGCTTATGCCTTGTAACAGACTTGAAAATCCTTCCCTGATTGAAAAAAAAGGCTCCTCTTCTTCTGGAAGAAAAAGGAGCCTCCTGCTAAGTTCCTCCCTTCCTGTGAGTGCTCGCCCTTCAGCGGTCCCTGCTGCTCTGTAGCAAGATTTGCTACCCCTCAGACCCATCCAGTCTTCTCTGCTCTGGGCATTTTTGTTCCTGTTATTTTTAAATCCCATAGTGCTCTGCTTCCATTGAAGTTTTCCAAAATTCTGCATCTGTTAAGGCTCAGTTCCCCTGGAGGAAGGAAAGTGTCCCTATTGGAAGCGACTCCGCTGACCCCTACATTTCTGCCATGCTTCCAACCTTCCTGGGGCCTCACTTCCAAGCTCTGATACCGCTTCCATACACAGATGTTTGCTGTCCTTTTCTTTCTTCCTCTCCTAGGTTGTAAGTGTGTTGAGACCCAGCCCCACCTCTTCTGCATTTGCCTATTCACCACCATGCCTTAAAACTGGTCTCGTACTAGTACATGCTCAATGACATTTGCCAAATGAATGACTCAGCGAGTGAAGTATAGTGGCCTTGCCATCTCTTACTTTAGGATTTGTTCACTTCTTTCCTGGCTTCATTCATTCATTCATTCATTCATTCATTCATTCAACAGTTAATATAGTGAGTGCCTGCTACAGCGTTAAGCATGTGGATTCATCAGCAAGCAAAACCAAGATCTCTACCTGAAGGTGCTTACATTCTGCCTTCTTGCCAAGACTCCCATCTTTGCAGTCACTCTATTCAGCTCTTGAAGAAACAGAACTGCAGTTATTTTAAACATTATTAACTTTATATTTTGTCATTCTGTGATTGAACCTTGCAGCCAGGAAGTTCTGCCTTCTTGGTAGTTTGCAACTTTGAGGATCTTGTTCTTAAAATTGGCTACATATCCCAGTGGCTGGGAGGGTGTTGGAAATGCTACTTCTTTTCGCTGCCTGACGACCAAATCAAGGCATTTTGCAAATTGCTCAGAAAGAGCGACATAAGTCTCCTTGATTTTTGAGGGTTTTTTTAATCTGCAGCATTGAAACTTTTGCTAGGCTGCTGCCCCTGCAGTAGGAGCAACTCAGTGCTCACCTTCCTTTGTTATTTGCTACATATTATGAAACAAAAGCAAAAACAAAACAGCAGTGAATTACATCCTGGCATCAGTAAGAAGGGAAAACAACTGTTTTTCAAAGTTCGATCTGTATGTTACCAATAAGGGAGAAATTTGTATTTTGTCGTGTAGGTATATGAAAATAGGGCAGTGTTAATGGTAAACACATTAATGGAGAATGTGCCTCAAGTCTTTATTGGACCCATAATCATTCTCTATTTGTGATTTTGAATGACTGTTGGTCACAACACATAGACTCGCAATAATGTGCCATCTTCATGTAGGACTCTCTAGCTACAAGTTCTTTTTTATTATAGCTGCGGTGAAACAGTATTTGTGGAAAGAGATTGCTCTCAATGCCAAAACCCAGCAATTTTGTTTTCAAATTCCTGAAAACTAAAAAAAGAAATCTTGGTGACATAAATGTTCCAAATTCAAAATATCCAAAAGTGAACTCATCAACTTCCTCCTTGAGCCTGCTGTTCCCTGTCTGTCTTGTCTGGGTAGTGATATCACCATCCACCCAGACAAAGCCCAAACCCTTAGATCATTTTCAACTCAGTTGTTCTCATCTGTGAGGTGGAATTTTCCTGGATGATCCCTGAAGATCCTTTCCAACTCTACAACTCTGTAGCCTGCAGTTCTGTGGTTCCTTCTTGACACGAATTCCCCACACAGCTCAATCCCACCTTTGAAATCTCTCACCGAGAGAGATGTGAATTGGCCTCGCTCTCTTTGAGCACCACCTGTTCCCAGCCCCGTTCATTCTCTTTGCCAAAATATCTTCCTAAAACACCTGTTCTAGACCTTGAGAAATCCTTATTTTCTCTGAGCTTCTGTTTCCTTGTTAGTTTGTGACTGGTCAAGAGTATAAAATTATTAGCCTAAAGAATTCTTAATATTTTCTAAGAAGATTGGCTCCTAAAGAAGCCGCTTTGTCTTGCTAATTCAGGTGACTGGTGGGAAGACCAGAAAAGCAGTCAGTTGCTCTGAGTAAGAAATGGTACCATGGAGCTATTGGGGTAGGAAAGAAAGAAGGAAAGGGAGACAGGAGAACAGCCAGTACAGGAGTAAGAGGTTGTGGGGAGAGGAGTGTGCAGAGGAGGTTTAGGGTGAGTGTTGCTGTGGAATGTGCTGGTTATCTCCTCGGTGTCCTGCATTGGAGACCTGCATTCCTTCCAGGCCCTCCGAGCTGTGTGGGGTGCCTTTTGGATGGGTCTTCATATTGTCAGGGGAGTCAGGAGACCCAGATCCACAATGGGGGTAGTAACATCTACTCCGTGGGGTTATTACGAAGTTATCGTGAGGGTGCTGTGCCTGGCAGTTTGGGTACTAAGGAAGTGTTGACCTTCTTCCCATGATTCTCTGCCACCTCCAATCTCTCCATGTCACATTCCACCCCTCACCCCAAAACTGCCCCAAATCCTAACTCTATGGCTTGGTATACAGGGCCTTCTGGGCTGGCACTGGTCCTCGTTCCAGCTTACCTCTCACCCCCTGTCTCCTCTCTACTTCCTGCTCCCTGCCCCCCAACAGCCCCAATCTCTTTGTTGAGTCTCTCCTTCAATCAGAACTAACTTTCCCTTTGTCTGGGTTCTCTCTGTGTTTGCATGAAGCACAGTAGGTTTGTATCATAATTATGCATGTATGTCTGTGTGCCCCCCAACTGTGTAAGATGTTCTCAATTCATATCTGATGAACTGAAATTCATTCCTAAACAATTGCAGCAACGTTAAGGATCATAAAAGGAAGAGTAAGGCATGTCTTCTACGTGGTGCTCCCATTTCATACACAGGTAGCACGCCTGATCGGGGGCAGATTTTATCTGACCCACGTCTTGAAGCTGTGGGTGCCTCACGGTGTCTGTGGTCTGATTTCACAGAGCTGTCATAGGGTCAGAGCCCCCCAGGAGACCCTTTTAGGACACAGTCCAGATATACCCCGAGCGGGACGGGCATCCTGGCCCTGACAGAGCCTGGCAGGCTGCTGCTGCAGAAAGTGGGGGCAGAAAGCACCTCCACCTCCGCACACCCCCATCCGGTAGTCTGTCTGCTGTCGGGTGTAGGTGACCAGCAGAAGGCCAGGGATACAAAGACGCGCTCGCTGAACGGAATCTTGAGTGCACTTCCAGGCTTTTCCAAACCAGGGCTGAGACAGAGCAGGCACCCCGCCCCCCCCATTCATTCCCACACCTCGCACCACCTTGATGTCACGTCTCTCCCTTCCTCGGTGAGCCTCTTGGTGCAAGCCAAGCTCAGCGCTCCGTTCCCGTGTAACAGCCGCGACACGTGGCTCACGTAGGTTCCGTGTGTGGCGCACACAGGCCTCTAGAAGCTTCTCCCACCCAGCCCCTCCGCAGCCATAACCCATCTTGTATTTGCCTATGCTCCCCTTTCACAGGCTTGCGGGGAGGGTGCACTCTGCAGCGGCCTCCTCACCCGGACACAGCTCCAGGTGAGGCCTTGCATCCCTGGGGAGCTGTCCGGAGCGCCGCCAGGGCTCCTCCCGCCGCCTAGGGCTCCGTTCCCGAGGTCCGCCAGAGACAGAACACACCAAGGGCAGAGCCTCCACCGGCCTTTTCCTTCCCAGCCAGCCCATCTCCGGGGTGATGGTCTTCAGCGGGGGACAACAATCCCTCATTCCTTGCCAGGGGAGCTGAGTGCACAAGGCTCTTGGACGAGTGAGAAGTTCCCCCCCGTGATCTTTGCTTTTCCATCTGAAATGAATCCTTGTTCCAGCCCCCCTTCCTCCAGCTGCTGTATATAGGCCCTTCTTGGTCCCTTGGGTGGTGCAAGCGCAGGTGAGCGGGCCGTGGCCGGCCCTGAAAGACAGGGCGAGGTGGGGAGCCGGGAGGCTCACAAGACCTCTGTGCCTCTGCGACCCCTTGCCGGCAACTCCTTCCCCTGTATTCCCGGCGGCTACACTCGCTGGAGTG